CACCCCAGACACTGGTGCTAACCTCTCAGCCCAGAGCCACCACTGCTTCCTGATCTTTGCATCTGGACCAACCCAGTTCCTTCCTGTGGCCCCCAGGAACCTTCTGGGCTTGGTCCCGCCGTCACCTCCCTTTTCTTCCCTTGTGGCACAGCCTCCAGGCATCCTGAGACCAGCATCTTTCCTGGGCCCTACTTCCAGGCCAGCCCAGCCCCCAAATTCCTGAGGGCAGCATCTTTCCTAGAGGGACCCAGACCTTAGGAGAAAGCATCTGAGCCTCATCTCACGTGGGCCTCTGTAGGAACTCCTGAAGACAAAAGCAGTTAGGCCACTCCAATAAAAAAATGAAAAGCAAGAACCTGAAGCCTAGACCAACCAGATTTTTCGTGCCCAACAAATAAACCACAAAAGCACATAAAATTTACAAAAAGAAGTAGATCTAAACTGAACAAAGAAAGGCTTGAGTCTCGCACAAGAATCAGAAACTGCGAAAGAAATTCACATCAAAGTCACAGAGAAAAAATAATAACATGAAAAACCAAAATAATATATCCCCACCAAATACCAATTGCCATATTTGCTTGCTGAAAGTAAGGTATAATGAAATCTTTTAATTACTTATCGATTACAATCTGAGTTGTCTTCTTCAAATTTCCCATTTAATGCCATTGTGTACATTTCTCCTTTGTCCAAATTAGAATTACTTTTTCTTTCTTAAGTAATTACTAAATTATTTCCCAAAGGATAGAAATGACTTTAGGAATAATAAAATACAGCCACTCAAAAGTATTTAAATTGGTGTAATTGAAAAATATAATCTGACATTATTATATTGCGAGGTGAAAAAAAACTGGATTCAGCTTTGCCAAATAATTAGAGAATACTATTAAAATAAGATTTTTATACCAGTCTATGTTTGGCCATATAAGCTAAACATACAACTGCTAAACAAATTTTTCCAGCTGCTACTATGACAATACTATGACAATTTCTCCGCTGAACAGGAGGGACTCTGCTCTGATAAAAGGAATCATTTCTGGGAGCACATAGAGCCCTCTGGAAAACTGCTAACTTGATCTTCTTCAGCATTTTGAGTCTGTAGGCCTTTTGGAGCTCCAGGGGTATGGCAGGGTCTCTCTCTCTCTGTGTGTGTGTGTGTGTGTGTGTGTGTGTGTTTATATCTTGCGTGTATGTGTGTGTTGTGTGTATTGAATGTATATTGTGTGTTGTGTGTGCATTGTGTATATAATGTTTGCATGTAATACTGTGTATTGTGCATATATTGTATATGTCTGAGTGTATGCATTGTGTGTTATATGTGTATGTATATATGTTTGTGTTGTGTTGTGTGTACATTGTGTATGTTGAGTGTATTCTGTTGTGACCTGGATGATGTTCCTCTGACCCTGTGGTGACAAGCCATGGACCCGCCTCCTTCCCAAGCTCTGCAAATAAGCCCTTCCCTCTTCCAGCCAATCGTTGACCATAGCCACTTACAGGGAAGGGGCTAAGGGTATAAAAGCTGGGAAAACCATGAGGCTGGCCCCTAGCCATTTTGTAAGGCTGTCTGGAACCACAGGATTTATGTCTAGGTGTGGACTTTTGGCATCAGCTGTGAATGGGTGGGGGAACACCCGCTTGTCTGTAAGTAAACCTACACCCCAAGCTCAGTTAGCAAGTCCAATAAACTCGTTAAGATTCTTCAAACCCGGATTTGGAGAATTTTTTTCCTCAGGCTGTTGCAAGGACCGTGGGAGGAGGGAATTGGATGCCACGTGCACCTCTCAGCAGTGAATTTGACTTACGACTGTATATATGTTTTGTGTGTTGTGTATATTGTGTGCATTACATGTATTATATTTGTGTGTTGTATGTGCACTGTGTATATTGTGTGTACGTAGTGTTTGTATTGTCTGTGTGTTGAACGTGTGTGTTGCATTTGTACATGTCCATCCTCCTGATTGCGTCACAGACTTGTGTAGAAGAGAGGATGGTTTAGGTTTTGATTTTAGTTCAGTAACCACTTTTTTTCATTGTATATTAGACACTGGGAGGTGAATAGGGACATTTCATTCTCTAGAGAAGCCTAATGTAGGGAAGGCATCAGTAAAAACATACTGTTCATGCATCCTGGATGTATTAGTACATGCACACTGTAAAATATGTACAGATACTCCTACATTTACGTATTATGTCCATTATAAAATATAAAATTACAAATGAGATACAAAGCAGACACACATATATCTTCATCTTTATTGACTTCATCCCTAGTATTGCTTTGCACTTTTCCCTCCTTTTCCTGGTGTGTACCATACCATTTTGGAGACCATTGGTTGGAGACAGAAACACATGCTTGAAACAGAGGGTGGAGACAGAAACACATGTAAGTACATGCTTGAAACAGAAGGTGGAGAGTGCTATAGTAATACCGTGTCCAGGGCTGCCCTGGGAACACAGAGAAGCCTTCTTGGGAATGTGGTGTAGACTAAGGTGCAACATCAAACAGGACAGGAAGTTCATGTGGAAGCAGGGGATAAGACCCTTATTTTGCACCAGTAGGAGACTATTACCAAGTACCACAGTCACACATAGACATTGTCTATGAATTTCCCAGGCCTAAGTGACACATCTACAATGCAACATGGAACATAGAACAGGCGTAAGGAGGAGAACACTAATGAATTTCTCAATTCTTATTAATGAAGATCCTTCATGTAACAGATGACCAGGAACACAAAAGTTCACAAATGGCCAAAGCTTCTACAGAATGCCGATCCCTGGACAGGACTCCTATATTAAACTTCACCCACCTAGGGCTCAGGGACTATCCAGAAGAGGGAGCAGAAAAATTTTAAGAAGCAGGAAGGAGGTGCATGACCATATGGAAATAGAGTTCTACAAGCTCCCGGGATTGTGTTCATATGATTTCTATGGCAATGGTGTCAGCGTACACAAGTCCCATGCAAACTCAGGCAGACAAAAACCCAGCAAAGAACTGGGGAAGTGAACAGCAAATCTCTGTTATTAGGTGAAGAAATACTGGCAACTGACTACTGCTAGTTGAGGAAGAGCTGGTCTTCCTAAAACAAGGGACTCTAGATAGGCTGACTAGACCTCAGTGATGGATTTGCACTGGGGAATGTCTGGGGACAGTGACTTGACACAGTGGGCCTTAACAGGGATAACAGAATATATGGGTTCCAGCGGAGGAGGAGAGGGCTATGGGAGGGTGCCAGTGGGGATGGGGGTATAAAGACGATTAAGATTGATTGAGATGTTCTTTCTGAAATACACAAAAATTTACAAAATAAAAACAAACAAAAAATAGCAAAAAAAGAGCTGGAAGTTCCAAAGCTGTCTCTTCCACATAAAGAGTGCAGCAAGGAAGCCCTGCCTTTTCAAGCTATGAAGCGTGGTAGTCAATTGGGGGAGAGGGTCCTTCTCAAAAGGGGTCCAAGAGTGTGCCAAATCGATTCCAGCTGCGGAGTATCAGAAAGCTGCTCCTCTGTGCCACTGCTGGACGTTCAAACAAAGACAGCCCATTCCAGAACCAGGAAGGGACTACACACTAAGGGGCTAGAGCAGATTGCCTTCTGAGGAATCCCCGTGTCTTGAACTTAATGTTGAAGAACTTTGACTTGGTGTGGTAGGAGTAGAATTAACTTGTTTTGTGATTGTCATAAATTGTCATCTGGTTAAAAAAAAATTGATCTGGACACATAGGCGTTTCCTTTGAAGGTTAAGCGTCTGTATCTCCTTGAGCGCAGAGTCACAAATCACAGTACCTGACTCTCCATAACAGACAGTCACTCCGAGATTCGACTGGAGTTTATTATTTAGAACACATGTTCAAGAGCAGGGCCATGCCCACGTTTGTTAACTGCGTGCCAAATTGCAATTTGCCCTGCCCGTTTGGGAAACACATTTCCTGTTCCTGCAGCCCGCTGAAGTTCAGGACAAGGACAGCGCAGCTGTGACTGCTTTCTCACGCCTTTCTGAAGCGGGGAGGGCTGGGGGCAGGATACTCAGAGAAGATCCTCCCCTCACCCTAATCACTTTGGACACTTTCTTAGCACCAGCTTTTGCTTGCCGCTGCTGTCTCTGCTAGAAGAAAACACTCCAGAGAAGGAGGAAAATGCAGTTTGAAAAAATGGCCTCAGAGAAGGTCTCACCCAGGTCTGTTCGTGGGGCTCAGGCAGGATTTAACACTGAGGTTTAAATCTGATGTCCTCATTTCCCTATTTGTATTCATGGTCAGAATTAGGGGGAACATTAGTAGTCATTTCAGTCATGTTTTTTACAATGAAAATTAATTCCTTAAAACTGAACTTATATCCATTCTACTTTGGTTCTTTGAAGGCTCGCCTAGAATCTCATGACCTGAGTTCTGTCTGCCAGACCCATGTGATGGAAGGAGAGAATGACTCTCATAGATTGTCCTCTGACCTCCACACACACCTTGGAACATACACAGAAATATAAATAAAAATGAAATAAAAAATTTAAGGCATAAAAATACCTGAAGCCAACATCCTTGGAGGATTGGCTAAAAATGAATTACATATTTAATTAGTTGTGGTAATTGTGGTAGCAGTAAAGCAAAGCATTAGAAAGTGCATACAGAAAGAGAGTCGGAAGAGCTCCCTGGCAGAAGTGACCTTTGAACTGAAATCTCTAGATGGCTGTGGATTGGGACTGGAGGGAGAAAAGAATTGGATTAATCAAAGGCACATGCCTTTAATTTCAGCACTTGGAAGGCAGAGGTGGGCAGATCTCTGTGAGGTCAAGGCCAGCTTGGTCTATGTAGTGAGTTCCAGGCCAGCTGGGGAGACTTGTCTCAACCCCCCCGCCCCAAATGCATTTACATTTATCATATGCCTTGAAGTTTATACTAGTGAAAACCATAATGTTCTTAAATAAAACAAGGATAGATTCCATAAGCATATGCATATCTATTAAAGGATTTATTTTGAAGAAAGGATAGCTAATGTAGTAGTCACCTTTTGTGTATCCAGATGGACAACTCTTGAGTTCAGGCTGAGAAATGGCTTCAATGTAGTCAGGGGAAATGGGTTGCAGTCCACAGGATTCCTCTGGGTGAATCAATAAATCACAATCCTGAATTAAAATGAAAGAAATTAGTTGTATCATTAACAGAACCCAGGGCAAAAATCCTGAACAGTAAAATATCTTGTGACAGGGCAGAATCCTGGCCAGTTCCAGCAAACCGACCACAAGGACAAAGACAAATGAGAATGTAGGAGTAACCACGCTAAACCCTGCATGCTACAGAGCTGACCTGTCGGACAAGATGTGCCCATTGATGCAATAGTGCCACAAAAGTTATGGAGTGACCAATCACTTTTGAATTGGTTTGAGTCTTGTTTCACAGAAGGGAATTCATGCTTGGTATTATAAACCTGGTCAAGACTTGGGAAGTCATAGGCCCCAAGGGGGAAACTTCCTAGTTTTATCTTTCTAAATGGACACATCGTCAGACTTCTAATATATATGTTTATACTCATAGATTAGTGCTGCTCTTAACCTTGGCCAGAGAAACTTCTCATTGCAGTGGGAAGCAGTTTAACGTAGAGACTTAGAACTGTTCAAAGTTCTGAGAATAAGCGATTATTGAATGCCTACCTAAATGGGGCATCAATATCAACCTCTCCACTAAAGGTTGAGGAAACATCATGGAAGTGGCAGGAGATGAGAGAGAGAGAGAGAGAGAGAGAGAGAGAGAGAGAGAGAGAGCCAGAGGGTACAGAGGGTTGGGAGGAGTGCTGGGAAATGCTGTCTTCTGGATATGACATGCCTAATGCACTCATGAACTCACTGTAGCTTCAGTTACTGCACAAGATCAAACCAGCAAGATCAGTCAACATTCCAGCAGGCAGTACTAACTGGACTTGCTGAGTTACAAGAAAAACTAAAATTTAGAAAGGAGAGAGAACATGAAGGGGAGAGGGAAGATGAGTTGGGGGTATTTGGGGGTTGGGTGGGGGAGAGAGAGAGTTGGGGGTGGATATGATCAAGATACATTGTTTACATGTATGCAATTGTCAAATAATAAGTAAAAGATATTCTACAAAAAAAAAAAACCAGGCAAAAATAAGGCCTTTTTAAAAGATTAACATGGCTTAAACAGCTAGCTCAGGTTCCCTTAGAGCCCATATATGAAGGGCATTGGAAATGGCCCTAAGCTCTCACATTTTTAAATCTTTCTACAAAGTAGGCATTGTCCAGATAATTTTTATATGATCTATTTATTTCTGTGATTTCAAGTTTAAATTTTTCCATTTTGAGAAATTTCCACATGGGTTCCTTGAACAGATTTGCATCTTGCTGCAAAGAATAAATTATTCTCTGTCTTCATATTGTCACTAAATTTAACAACTACTTTCCTAGTATTACAGCTAGTCAGTCATAACACTAAGTAGCTATTGTATAATTCATAGTGTTAGAAAACAGTGAACATTTATAGACTAATTAGCTGAAGTATACATTAGCAAGAAATAATTACAGCATAATCTATCTGAAGTCATCCTTTGCACACCACATTAATTATAAAATGGAATGCTTTTAAGGAAAAAAATGCATATAAATTCATTTAAAAGAGATTTCTATCTTTATGGAGAACAATATGAAAATACTTTTTCAAAGTAATTGCATATTCATTTAAAGCAACAATTAAAATGCTAAGACTAATGCTTTATTCTATGAACAGGTTTCATAAGATACACAAAGATAAATGTATAAGAAAATTTACCATAGCATTACTTATACCAACAAAAAACTTGAAATAGCACAATTGTTCATTAACAGAGAAGTGGATAAATACTACAGTATCTTATAAATTGGAATATGTGATAATTCCTAGGAAAGAAGGATGTGGAATGAAGATATGGAGAGATATGTAAGGCACCTTATCAAATAGAGCAAAGTCAGTTACAAAAGTTGATATAAACCATGATCTTATTTTAAGTAAAATTAATTGTTAAATATTATATATACTTAACTACTCACAGATAAATTTGTATCAATACAGAGGAAATTCAGATTAAGGGGTTACTCAGTAGATTAAGAATATCAGACAGAAGATAGAAAGGCAAACTAGACATTTACTTTATATGCTTTAAAATTTTACCATTAGAACTAATTATATTTAAAAATTATATATCACAGAAAATATCATTTAGATGGGAAAGTAATAGAATAGAAAATTAGAGATGCACTGATGGTTCCCAGTCAAGCACCTTTACTTCCCATAGCTACTGTAACAAAGCAGCCTGTGCTGGGCTGTGTAGAATGAAAGATAATCGTGACTTCATCATTCTGGAGGCCTAGAATCTCAACACTGAGTTGTAATCTGGTTCAATCACTCTGAGGGTTATCAGCCTACATGGCCATTTAATATTGCCCATGTTTACAAGACAATATTAAATGGGCTCAGTCTATCAGAGTTGTGACAAGGGAGGTGAGCAAGTGGTCTACACAGAAGGACAAGCACCTGAAACATTCTGAGCTGAGCGAAAAATGACTGTATTGAGTTCACAGTCCAACAAAGGAGGTAGAGAGAAGTTGCATTAATATGGAATTGTGATTTTCGTGGGAGGCTCAATCTAATGACACAAAGTTCAGGGTTAAGCTTTTCCAATTTTCAGTTTGAAATTCCCTCCGTCCCTCCTTTCTTTTTCTTTCTTTCTTTCTTTCTTTCTTTCTTTCTTTCTTTCTTTCTTTCTTTCTTTCTTTCTTTCTTTCTTCTTTCTTTCTTTCCTTCCTTCCTTTCTCTTCCTTCCTTCCTTCCTTCCTTCCTTCCTTCCTTCCTTCCTTCCTTCCTTCTTCCCTTTTCTTCCTTTCTTTCATTGTTTCTTTCCTTTTTCAGGGTCTCCCTAATCCCAACCTGCCTAGAACTCACTATACAACCAGGCTGGCCTGGATCTCAGAGATCCACCTGTCTCTGCCTCCTGAATGCTGGGATTAAAGGTGTGCACCACCATGCCTGGCGTTGTTTGAAATTCTTAACAGGTAATCTTCTAGGCTTGATTCCCTTTTACAAAACTTTTAAAAATTGATAAGTAGCTGTCCTTTCAAAGAATAATACATAGCTAAACATTTTTATTGAAGAATTTAGCCTATGATTTGTGCTAATAAAATAAAAAGGTGTCCTCCTATCATTATCATACCTTGAATTTTAAAGAAAATACATCACGAACTAAATTACTTGCTCTATTCTGAGCAGAAGGGGTCCCTTAAAATGGTGCTTTTAAAACTGATAAGCTTCAATGGTTGGTATTAATGCTGTTTTAGTGAGAGATTACCAGTAAATTTTAAATTCCATTTCTTTAAAAAATAACAGAACTTGAGGGACTTCACAGCCCGACCCCACGGGCTGCTTTCATCTGCGTGGCAGCCTCTCTCACAGAAAATTCTAATCCACACAGCAATGAGCCATTGTAGAGTATGAGACCACTGTGTTTCATCCCTAAGCAAACATCAGAGGAAAAGTGGCCATTGGTTTATTTTGAAAGCATCCTGAGTTAGTTCACAAAGAAGTCACGAGGAAGGGAAACTGAAACAAATCACAAGCAGATGAGTTCATTATTTTTCATTAAGTGTATCAACATGCCATTAACATTTGGAATACTTCATCATATTTCTCATGCATTCCACATCTCTGAACTAGTGTGAAATTTCATTGTCAACTTACATAGCCCTCAAATCAGCTGAGATGCGGCCAGTTGACTGTGAATGATAAAGTCCACTCCGAAAGGGCCCCTCTAGTCTCAATTTAGAAACACACACGTGTCTCTGGGTTTGCATAACTTAGACTGGAAAATCTAGGAACATGGGGTTTGTAAAATGACTAATGTTTCCCACTTCCAGAGAGCTAGAAACCCCTGAGGAAAGCAGCCTTTATTGTGGTTGTTCAGCACTTTTGGTTTTGGTTCCAGATGGAATCCAGAAGGGTAGATGTAAAGGCAAATGAGAAGAAAAACTGAATTTATGTTTAGCTATCTGAAAACGCTCAGCTCTTTTTGACTCATGAACAAAGGAGTGCAGAGTTGGAACTGAATGTGCTGCTTTGGGCTCTCTTGTATGCTAAAGGACCTGGATCCGTTTGGGAAAAGGACAAAACAATAACACAGCAGCATCAAGAAAATGTTATTTCCTATTCCAAAGAGCAAACCAGGTTTTTGTAGATTAAAACTGAAATGGCAGTGATTGGAAATAGCCTGTAGGCTATAAAGATGTTTCTAAAGACAACTTTAAGCCGATGTGTGCTTACTAATAATGGTGATGATAAACACACTGAATGTTTGTCATATAATAAATAATAATAAGGCTTGCCAATGAGATATTGACTAGTTATACTGAAGAGATTTGCTGTTTTAAGTATATTAGCTTGGACATTTCCATAAGTAAACATTCCACTGAGAGGGCCAATCAGGTTGTAATCCTTAAAGATATGGCTTTGGTAGAGAATATTCTGCATGAGTGGCACTAATAGAATTAAATATTTAATAAAACACAGAGTTACACTAACTTTGAGCCATTTCGATATTTTCCATTTACATTCTTCAGGGGAACAGCCACACAAACACACATACACTAACGCAACCCTATATATTCACACACAAACTTGTATATGTAAAATCATCTTAGAATACATGGGACTTGACTCTTCATGGGAATGTGAACATTGGTAAGTAAGATTAACTCTGTCTTAAGTCACAGTACAGTGCTGATTTCTTCCACATTTATTTTCAATTGTAGGATGCTGGGATGCTTAACAGAGTGATGGAAGCTCAGGAAGAAGAGTACTTGTCAGCCATCCTGTTAAGAGCCATCACACCCTACTGAGTTTGTCACAGATTGTACATTGACTGTGAGCATAAGGAAGTCTTTCAATGCATTGTTGGAGTACTTCAGAAACTTAAGTATCAAAACAGAGTAACTATTGGAGAAAAGCATATACTAGAATGCACTGAATATGATAAATGTCTAGCCGATATTATTGGGAGATAGTAAGAGAAGACACTGAGAAATAGAAACAGTAGTGCCTTTCACAGGTATACCTTGGTCTAGATAGAGGCAGTACTACTTAACGTAGATTA